GAGGAGTGTTGAACAAAGGTGGGAGAGGCCCACAGAGAGAGATGAAGGAAAAATGAAGCGAAGGAAGTGGAAGTGAGGAGTGTTGAACAAAGGTGAGAGAAATGATAGGGATCGATGAGAGAAGATCTTGTCCTCGATGAATCACGCCCACCAGACACTTTGACAAATGGCATGTCGGGTTGCAGGCCAGGAGGAAGGGACAGTGGGCATCACAAGAGACCATGCCTTCATCAACGTCCTTGACTGGACAATGGAGGGATGGATGTATCATATTGATTGATTGATTGACTGATTGATTGATTGCATGGATGTTGCATATTGATTGATTGATTGGATGGATGGATGGATGTATCATATTCATTGATTGACTGACTGATTGATTGATTGCACGGATGTATCATATTGATTGATTGGTTGATTGATTGATTGGTTGATTGATTGACTGACTGATTGTGGCATACTGTGCAGCCACACGGGCCTGCAGGGCCCGACCAGCGTTCTCAAGCCTAAAAGCCTGAAAACGAGGGCCTACAGGCCGTGTGTCGCTTTCAGCCTAAAAGCCTGAAAACGAGGGCTTACAGGCCCTGTGTCGGTTCAGCCTGACAGCCTGAAAACAAGGGCCTACAGGCCCTGTGTTGTTTCAGCCTGACAGCCTTCAAACAAGGGCCTACAGGCCCTGTGTCGTGTCAGACTGACAGCCTGAAAACAAGGGCCTATAGGCCCTTAGTCTTTAGCCAGAAGCGACCTGGAAACTACTCGGAAGCTTCCTCGGGGGCTAGCACGTTCTGGCATTGGCAAGAGCAGTCTCCGGGAAGCTTCCTCAGGGTCTAGCACGTTTGGGCATTGGCAAGAGCAGCCTCCTGGACGGGCCAGCACTATATAAGACTGGCCCGCCCTACAGGTAGGTAGGGAGTTCATAGGAACTGGCCAGGCACTTCACGTGCAGTTCAGGAGGCAGGAGGTAGTCTTCAGGATTCGGCAGCAGCACTCTGGAGGAGCGCTGCAGGAGTAGTAGTAGTCTTCAGTGCTGGGCGCTAGTAGGAGCTAGAGTAGCATAGGGGAGGGAGAGAGAGAGTTGGTTGGCGGAGGCCAGGGAGACTTACCTGTGGTTCCATAGCTCCAGCTTCGTCTTGAATGTACCTGCAACAAGGTGCCACCTTCACAGGTTAGTACCGGACTGAGAGAGAGAGAGAGAGAGAGAGAGAGAGAGAGAGAGAGAGAGAGAGTTCTTCTTCTTCCTCTTCTAAGTCCACCATCTCTTCCTCACCCTCTCGCTACCTGAGTTCTCAGTATCTGCTACCTGACTTCTCAGTATCTGCAGACTACGAGAGAGAGAGATTGGGGACTTCGGGACTTGACAACAGTTGGATCCAGACTTGACATTGGGATTCATACATTTGACGAGGGACTATTTGGGACCTGTACCGAAGACTTGGTGTTGACTACATTCCCATCTTCCCCTCCTCTTCGTCTAACCCCCCTCTTCTTCGTCTGTGTATGGTTGGGGACTGGCGCATTCTTCCCGTGTGAGTGCCAGGCCCCTTCACACCATGGAATGATGATGATGTATGTTTGGTCTGCATTGCAACATTGATTGGGTTGATCATTGGTATTTTAGCTTTCCGCTGCGCTATCTTGTACTTTGTGAGAGAGGTCGGTTCTTGTTCTGGTCTGCACTGTTACGGTATGCGACACTGATTGATTAATTGATTGATCAATTGAACGTCCTTGACTGGACAATGGATGGATGGATGTATCATATTGGTTGATTGGTTGGTTGATTGATTGATTGATTGGTTGATTGATTGGTTGATTGATTGGATGTGTGGACACGGAGGGTGCACACAGCCAGGAAAGGAGGGGCAGCCCTCTGCACGCATGGCTGAAGAAACCCTGAGAGTGTAACAGTATGTGTATCTGAGTGGGGTTTCAGAAGGGGTAAGGGGAAAAAAGGTAAAACGAGAAACATGAACAAAACATAACTAGAAACCTAGCTAAGGGGGTGTAGCCCAGGATTGCTTCCTTTCCCCTTGTGCTATGTTTGTCTCAAGCGGTTGGTCGGGAAACCCGACCTTTAGCTGTTGTTGGGGCAGACACAATGATGGCTGCGGCCGAGTGTAAAAGTAATGATGGCTGCGGTCGAGTGTAACAGTATGTGTAGCTGTGCCGAGGAGAAGTTATGTGATCCCTTGTGTAGCTGTGCCGAGGCAGCACTTCGAGAAGGTGTCATATGTGATCCCTTGTGTAGCTGTGCCGAGGCAGCACTTCGAGAAGGTGTCATGTGTAGCTCTGCCGAGGCAGCACTTCGAGAAGGTGTCATGGACCATGATTTGAGGTCAAGCTAACATTGCTCGTCTTTCCAATGAGGATCAGTCATTTTAGATCGGCGTAATGTTTGGAAAGCAGGGTGAAGTGGATGGTTAGGAAGACTGCCTGTTGTTCTCCTGGTGTTGCTATGAGTTTTGTAGACCATCCTCCTCACGACGGAGGAGTAGGGTGTACAAAAGGAGGCCTGAGATTGCATTTCGGCTCTGGGAAATCACCCCCCCACCCAAATGTACCAACATGCCTAGCTCAGTTGGTACGCTCATGAACTGTTGAAATGAAGACCTGAGTTCGAATCCTTCGATGAACAGAACTGCAAAAGGAGGCCCGAGATTGCGCGGGGAAATCAACAGAAAGGTACCAACGGCCTTAGCTTAGTTGGTACACCCATGAACTGTCGAAATGCGGACCTGAGTTTGAATCCTTTGATGAACAGAACCAAGTAATTCTTAATTACCTGGAGCCGGTAAGTTCGTTGGTCATATCTCAAGTCCGTCGCCCATTTTCCAAAAAAAGAAAAGAAAAGAACTAGATAAGGAAAAAAGAAACCAAAGGTACAAGATCTTGGATGTATTGACCCGAGTACTACGAAGCCCTCGAGGAACTGAAGCAAGTAAGTCTGAATTACCTGGAGCCGGTCAGTTTGACGGTAATATCTCTAGGTTCTTGTGGTATTTAGGAGTTTTGTAGCTTTGGTACGATCCTCTTAGGTGGTTGATAATTGTGTTTCTCCCCTCTTTAGGAATTCCTTCTTAGGGAATGTAGTACTTCTTAGGGAGCTTGTTGGGCTTTTCTGGCCATGATGGCGCCCTTTCCCCCTCCCCCCCGGGATCCAGGTTCAGGACAGCGGTCGTGAGTTGGCCATTTCTGTCGCTGGACTTATTACTAGATGCCTGCTCCGAAGCTGGGTAATGGTCCCTTATTTTTTTTTCCCAGGGTTGTCTGTGGAGGTTTTCCCGACCTCTCTTTTTGTGTTTGGTATTAATAAAAGTTTCTGTTTTGGAACGGAACAAGATAAAGAAAAAAGATACCAAAGGTACCAGATCTTGGATATATTGCTGGGAATCTACTCCGGAATCAGTCAATGCAGTATGTGCTCACCATAGACAATGAGTGTGCCCTTAGACAAGGAGAATGCAACGCCCATGCTGGTCTATCGACTAAGGGCCCGACCAGAAAGCATGAGAGCAGTGCAGTAACCTGCCCACCCGGTGGACAAGGATGGCAGGCGGGAACCTGGTCAAGGCTCTAGTCTCGATGATGGCATGAAACATAGTGACACCATCTTGTAAATGGGATGGAATGAGCCTGGTCCTTTATCTGGCCAGGTTCATGCTGCGCTGGTTAGAGGCTCCAACAAGGTCAAGGAATGTTACGCGGATAGGATGACTGGAACCTCTCGCCTGGGTGTGCGTGTGTGTGTGTGTGGTGGTCGATGCTGAGCATTTTGTCCTTGAGTGTCCCCTGTCTGTGGGTGGGTACACTGTGCCGACATGGAGGGCGGAACAAGGTGTTTCCAGCCGCTGGCAGGACATCAGCGCCCTGCCCTCCAGGGTCGAGAAATGTTGAACCTTGCACCTTTGCCAGGATGAATAGAAAAGGGACAGAAAAGAGACACCCTACAGAGGAGGAAGAGAAAAAGGGCACAGAAAAACAGAGAAAAGAGCATGCAAAGAAAAGGCATCATAGTCGTTGCTCCCTCCAGGACGTCCGTTGAAATTGGAATGGTACGGAGAAGATTAGCATGGCCCCTGCGCAAGGAGGGCATGGATAAATTGAGAAATGATTTAAATTAAAGAAGAAAAAAGAAAGAAGAACAAGGCATCGTCGTCCTTGCTTGCTGTTTTCCTCTCCCTTCGCTTACATGCGCTCTTACAGTCTTCCCCCGGACAGAACGTACTGTCAACGTAGCTGTGTTTGGGGCGACTTGCGGTCTAAGGTACAGCGGTAATGCTGGTATCTTCTGTTCGGATGAAGACAGGGGTCAATTGTTGTGTGACAATAGAGAGAGATGAGGTTTGTATTTGGGCGAAGTTGTGCTCTAGATACTGTCAGTGATAATGACAGCGTGGCGTGTTCTATTCAGGTGAAGATGTTAGTCAAGGTTGTCATCGTGGGTGTGTTCTGCATCTCCTGGAGTGGACGATCCCGTCCTTGGTCAAGGAGCAAACCCTGTTGTTCTATTTTTTTAATTATTAAATTTGGACCATTTCTAGACTAATGCGTGTGATCGTTGCGCATGGGCCATGCTAATCTTCTTTCTCTGTATCGTTCCAATTTTAACGGATATGTCCCGGAGGACAAACCCTTTGTGTTGGTCAGCACACGTGGCTGAATGGGGCACACATGCAATGGTTTCTGAACAGAACGCGTGGCTGAACGAGTTACTGATCGAACTATCACGGAATGAACTTGGGGGCTAACCCTTCAAAAAGCACAGAAGCACATGCCTGTTTGTGCAGCGCAGTTAGGTGCCTCTTCCAGAATCTTCATAGCAGTCAAAAAAGACAGGAGACGGCGTTCTTCTGTTATTGTCCTGGGCCATAGTTGTTGCCATGTGGTTATCTTGAAACAATCTCTTACTGTGTGTTAGTATGCACATGTGGAGGTGCAAAAATGCCCCAGAGCTTATGCTCAATAGGACTTCCGGTGATGTATCTTACCACGATTAGAGCCAGACCTGGATGTAGCTGACTGCAAAAACCTCCAGAAATCATTCGGAAAAGTTAGGGTGAGTATGCCCAAAGGTGCATCCCAGACCAAAGCGGGTCCTGTCCCATGTCTGTGGGCGAAGCTATCAGATTATTGCGGCTGCGGAGGCGACAATGAGCTGAACGCAGAGGGCAGAGGACTCACTGGAGGGGTAAAAAGACTGCGGTGATCACAGAGGCACAATTATGTGTGTGCCCTGTGAAGCGGCAGTATGCCAAAGCTGCATTCCAGACCAAAGAGGTCTCGTCCCGTTTCTGTGGGCTGAGCTATGAGGTTATTGCGAGTGGGAAGGAGGAGATGAGCTATCAGATCCAGTCCCAAAGAGGTTTTCTTCCGTTCCTGTGGGCTGAGCTATCAGATCATTGCAGCTGGGAAGGAGGAGGCAAGCTTGCCTCAGGCGGCAGAGGAGTCACTGGAGGGGCAAATGGACCATGGTGCAGTTTAGGGGCAGAGGAGTCACTGGAGGGGCAAATGGACCATGGTGCAGTTTAGGGGCAGAGATAAAAATGGAACAGCTGGAGAGGGGTAGACTCGTAAATGACGCACAGCCTTTGGGCATATAGTGTAGGGTGTACTCCCACTACGATTTTTGGAGAATGCATTTGACATCCATTGCGGCCAGATTCCAGATGTAGGCTGGAAGCAGTCTGCGTGATGTCGAGCTGCATTCCCTGGTTTGCCGGAGCGTTGGGCATTCAATGTGGTGGCGTATTTAAGTGAGAAAGTCCAAGTGTGAGTATGC